TCAGAATCACAAGTGGGAGAATGCCATGACTCTGGACCGGGTAGCCTGGGCTTATAGGCGCACAGTCAAACTGAGTGACCTGCTCTCCATGGAGGAACTGATATACGAGATAGCATCTACTGTGAGGTAGCTGGGCATTTCATTATCTAAAATGATTTAACTGGTAAAGATCTTAATGGCATCACCAAAAAATCTTATTCCAATATTTATGGTTTTAATTCTTTTTCTGTCAGTTGTGGTGGAAACATCTTGGTGAATGTGGGACCAACTGCTTGGGGCACCATAGTTCCAATATTTGAGCAAAAGTTACGTCAGATGGGAGAGTGGCTGAAAGTGAATGGAGAAGCCATCTATGGCACTAAGCCATGGTCCCATCAGAATGATACTGTTACTAAGCATGTGTGGTAAGAAATGTAATCACATTTAATATATTAATGATGAAATAAAAAGATTGATACTGTCCATTTGTGTGGTAAGAATGGAATCCCACTTTTTTTATATAATGATTTGATAAACAGAATAATATGGTCCATTAAAATGCAAAGTCTGAAAATATGGACATTTTAGGTAAATGCTTTTTGAGAAAAAGAAGTTAAACATTTCCCCTTAATTTCCACTTCAGCTTTATGACTTTTGAAATATATTATCTCATATGTCAATGCTTTTACATGACTATTAAATGCACTTTTGTTGTATTTGCCTGATATATAATTATTAGAAGATGGTAAACAGTCAAAAAATCAAAAACCTAGGAAGCCATTTCAATCCATTTTGCAGACTCGAGAGAAATTCAAAATAGTACTCCAGAGATGAATATTTTATCTTTGAAAACTATTATTATTCCTCCAGGTATACCTCAAAGAAAACTGGGAATGGCACAGCAGTTTATGCCATTGTCCTGAGTTGGCCTACAACCAACACTTTGACTCTGGGTGCTCCGATCCCCACCTCTGGGACAGTGGTCACTATGCTGGGTTATGCTGGTTCTTTTGGATTCAAGGGCATTGGTCAGCAGGGAATAACCATTCGTATACCCGTGATTCCATTTTATGAAATGCCATGTCAGTGGGGCTGGGTGTTCAAGATGGAAGGACTGAAAAATGCTGCCTCAAAAAGGGGCTTCTAAATTTGTAACAGCTCACATGCAGAAGAATATGTAGGACTTCTCTTGGGAAATTGGTCAATCCATGAGTTAGACTGCATTCTCAACGAATTGAGCCAGGCTTTACAAATCCTGAGAACTAAAAATGGCGGACGTACATGAAAGAAAAACCGCCTAATCTTTTAATAGTCTCTCCGCCCCTCACACGCCTCCCCACACGTCGTCCCTGCGGGGTACAGTAATTAAATCTCGGCTCCGAACATGAATATCTCTTTGAATATCTCTGGTGATATTATCTCCGTAGATAGTCGATCCATTGCAGCTCTACGGGCCAATTCCTTCCTTTTTCATCTCTGTTTTGAAAGATAATAGAACAGAAGAGCTTTTTTCCTTTGATAGCCTTCAGCCGCCATGCTTTCTTCAACACGAGTTTAACTGATGAGCATGTGCACTTAATATTTCTCAGGTAGCTTCCGTAGGCGAACGGAGCGGAGATTTAATTACTGTACTCCGCAGGGGCGACGTGTGGGGAGGCGTGTGAGAGGCGGAGAGACTATTAAAAGATTAGGCAGTTTTTCTTTCATGTATGTCCAGCATTTTTAGTTCTCAGGATTTGTAAAGCCTGGCTCAATTCGTTGAGAATGCGGTCTTAGAGTCCCAGTTCCACCAAGTTTTGCAAAATAAGTCTAAATGTGAGTTTAAGTTAAATCCATTTTTTGGACTTGACAGAGATTATTTCATTTTGTGAGCATATCTAAAATTGAGATTTACAATGAGTTTGGTTGTCCTGATTAATACTTGTTATTTGAAAAAATTATAGGAAAAGTCTGTTTTTTTTTTATTTATTTACTATAGATATCTTACTTATTTATCAATTACTTTTATAATTAAGACAATCTTTTTGTGTAGTTCAGATTATACTAATGTGCATAAATATATATATATATATATATATATATATATATATATATAGTTGAGATTTACAGTAAGTTGCGTTGTGCTATTTAATACTTGTTACATTAAAAAAAAATTTATATAAAATAAGTGCATTTTATTTTTTTTTTTTACACAGTATGTCTTCATTTTTTTTATTATGTTTAAGGGATAACAACTGTTCATTTTGGCCAAAAAATTAATTTTCCTGGGGTAAACAACAATTTTCCCATTCTTACCAATGGTTAATTAATCCATTTTTACATTCAAATTTAGTCCCTGTTTTTTTTTTCTGGAAAGTTTGCTTTTTTGTAGTAATCTCTTAAGAGGTTATTAGAGACTATAGCAATCTATGGAGGTCACATGGTTGGATGACAAGCACAAATTTAAGAATAATTGCTTTAACTGCCATTTTTGGTGGTGGAATAGAATATATTATATTTCCTTGAGTTGTTTACAATGTTTTTATTGTGAAATATAGATTTCATGAAGAGTTGTTATCCCTTTAACTTAAATTAGCAATTTATAATTAAAAATATGTTTTTGTATAGTTTGAATTGTACTAATGTGTACTACTGACATGTGTACTACTTAAAATTTTTTTGGCTAGGATTTGGTGAAATAAATTTTTCATTGTCTTTTATGTAAAGATGATAAAAAGTATATACCTTTTTAAGAAACTTAACTTTGAGGCACGACTTTTTACCTTTCAGCGTGGGGCCTTGATTATATTTNTTCTTTTTGTCTGTACATTTGACAGCTTTGCTGCCTTGTTTTTTTTATTTATTTACTATAGATATCTTACTTATTTATCAATTACTTTTATAATTAAGACAATCTTTTTGTGTAGTTCAGATTAAACTAATGTGCATAAATATATATATATATATATATATATATATATATATATATATATATATATATATATATATAGTTGAGATTTACAGTAAGTTGCGTTGTGCTATTTAATACTTGTTACATTAAAAAAAAATTTATATAAAATAAGTGCATTTTATTTTTTTTTTTTACACAGTATGTCTTCATTTTTTTTATTATGTTTAAGGGATAACAACTGTTCATTTTGGCCAAAAAATTAATTTTCCTGGGGTAAACAACAATTTTCCCATTCTTACCAAGGGTTAATGAATCCATTTTTACATTCAAATTTAGTCCCTGTTTTTTTTTTCTGGAAAGTTTGCTTTTTTGTAGTAATCTCTTAAGAGGTTATTAGAGACTATCGCAATCTATGGAGGTCACATGGTTGGATGACAAGCACAAATTTAAGAATAATTGCTTTAACTGCCATTTTTGGTGGTGGAATAGAATATATTATATTTCCTTGAGTTGTTTACAATGTTTTTATTGTGAAATATAGATTTCATGAAGAGTTGTTATCCCTTTAACTTAAATTAGCAATTTATAATTAAAAATATGTTTTTGTATAGTTTGAATTGTACAAATGTGTACTACTGACATGTGTACTACTTAAAATTTTTTTGGCTAGGATTTGGTGAAATAAATTTTTCATTGTCTTTTATGTAAAGATGATAAAAAGTATATACCTTTTTAAGAAACTTAACTTTGAGGCACGACTTTTTACCTTTCAGCGTGGGGCCTTGATCATATTTGGAAGGATGTTTTCAGGGTTGCACTACTAATAAGTAGATCTCCCTCTATCTGCCCTCCCTGCCCCCCCTTCCCCCACCCAAAAAAAAAAAAAAAAATAATAAATAATAATAATAATAATAATAATAATAATAGAAGATGAACAAATAAATTGCTGATTATTATGGTGAATATTGTTTTGATATTTTCATGAAATCTCTACTTGGGTACATGATTTTCACCTATGGCAGGCAATATTGGTATGTGTGCAATTTATTTTTTTAGGGAGCAATCTTTATTTTACATTCCTTCAGTGCCCTTGACTGTGATGTTCTGTAATGAAATGCATTATCTGAGTAATATATTTCAGGTTTCTGCACCCCATTTTGTAATTATGTATTAATTAGGAAAAGTTCTGAATATAAAAAATTAACCAAACACGATGAGTCCTAGCTACTAAAATGAACATTCCTGACAGCATTTTGATACAAAATTTCTTGTCACAATTTTTGCATAAGTAGATTTATGTTATTTCTATATGTGTAAAATACATTTTTGCTTTGTGTAATGTCTATTAAAACAATAATTTTTGAAAAGTGATTTCCAAATAAGGATTTCACATATTTTTCTTATTATATAATTCACATTTTAGACATATCTTTTAAATATTTTGTTAAATATCTAACCAGGTGTATTAAATGGGGATAAAACATGTATTAAAATGTTCAAGTTTGTATTGAGTATCATTTTTTTGTCACATATTACTGTGTTATGTGTTATTTCTTAAAAGAATATTTCACAGGGTTTGATACAAAAATTATCTTGGCTCTTATTATGACATCTTAAGCAATTTTCTTGTACTAGTACTTCAAAACATAGCTTTGTAAGCCTACTGACCATCTAACCCATTTGAATATGTCCTTTTATTGAAACTTTTTTTTAAAATTGGTTTTAGACAATTTTATGGTAAAAATTTTCTTAGATTTACTTACAATATTTTGGTAAAAGGAATTATTTGAACCAATATATGGTTAAATATGTAACAGGTTTTAGTACCAGTATTGTAATTGTTTAAGTAACAACTAGAAAAATAAATGCACTTTGTCTTGAAATATACATTGTGAAAATAAAACAATGCAGAGCCGATTATTCATTACCTTGTGTGTTTCAGTATTGTTATTAAATGAGTTATTTTGGCTTAAGGAATTTAAAACATTTGATCTGAGCCCTTTACACACACACACACACACACACACACACACACACAGCCCTTGGAAACAAAAGGCGGTCCGCTTGACAAACCGCTAGATGTCACCACCTCACATCAGTGCCAACAAAATTTTTTAGGTCAACATCATTATGTTGGCGATTACTCACTGGAATTTCCATAACGAAACGGGCATACATACTACTAACTCTTGCTGTTATGGTATTTAGTGGTGAGTTTATGTATTTACTTTATATCTCTGTAGAATTATCACTTTAAATCCAGGCTTATCAGACCCTTGGTCGTTGGTGAACGACGCACTGACGTACGTTAACAGTTGAACGGTAAACGCTTGTAGACTCGGGTCTACCACTACAGAAAATGTTATTACCACATTGATAATGATATCATCTACGATGTAAGATCGATCGTAGCGTTGTCTGATAAGTGGTGGCGTGCTTTATTAGCGGTTATTGGCACCGTTAGAAGAAAAAACGAGTGACAACTATGCTCAGCAAATGTCATTACTCAGAAGTATGGTAGAATATACCCCCCAGTAGTACATGTACGTGTTACACATGATAATAACATTATATTACATGATAGCCTACACATAAACTACTCGGAAGTAATACTGGTATTATGGAGTTGGAAGTGAAATAACCTCCGCTTTCGTTATTCTTGAATCAATGGCGTTATTTTTTTAATGGGGCCCATTAATCAAATGGGAGATCAGGACCCCCCCTGACACCCCTCTAAATCCACTACTGGTGACTTATTAGTGACTACATGTACATGTATTTTGCCCTTTATATTTAATTTTTATTGCAGATGCCACTTAGTGAAAGTCTACCATGGCATCCCTAATTACTTCCAAGAAAACTATGAGAACTGAAGAGATTGACAAGGAGATACAGGTATATGGTACATGTATAATATATGATATGACATTTTGCAAATTTTACTTGCCAGTGATTGTGTAGATCCCTTTAACATTGGTCTTTGGGCCAAGCTAGCTACACAAACTAAGTATTTTAGGATGTGTATGTGTTGGGGCGGGGGGGGGGGGTGTCTCTTAGTCTGCATTTGATAATGTATCATCATCATCATCAATGCTCTTCGTCCCGTGTGGGACATAAGGCCACAGTCACTTCTTTCCATTTGGCCCTGTCTCTGGCTACGTGCTGGGCCTGCCCCCAGGTAAGGTCCCTCAGCTCTGCCATCACTGTTCAGCGCCAGGTGGTCTTGGGGCTTCCTCTCTTTCTTTTTCCAGGTGGTGTCCATCTCAAAGCTACCTTTGGTACTCGGTTCTCGTCCATCCTAAGTACTAAGTATCAATATTTATTCTTGATAATGTATGAATAAATATTAATCCCCAATTTGCATATATTACAAAAAATTGATGAAGTATTTACTACTTCCGGATCTTGTTTCTAAACTTTGCTAAATGTGGTTATTCCAGGCCCTTGCTCATAACTATACACAGCGGTTCTGCAACTTCTTTGAAGACATTTGTCAAGAAGGGGAATTAGTCCAGATCTACAAAAGTAGCTTTCACGGACACAAGGAAAGATTTGAAGAATTTTTGAACAAAACAGAAGGCTTATTGATAACCTTGCAAGCTCTGGTAAGTTCCTTATTATTATTAAGCTGTTTTTTTTTTTTTTTTTAAGATAATGATAAAACTGGAGCAGAATTCTCCCTGTTTTAATAGTTGGGGGTATTTTACATTTTAATATGCACTGGTCTTAAATTAGTTTGAATTTTCCATTTTCTTTGGTAGAAGTTTCCAGTACTGAAGAATGGAAAACAAGTTGTTCACTTTGTAACTCCCAGAGATGAACTGAAGAAAGGAGAAATGTATTATCAGGTATAACGGTATAATGTAGCCAGTTTATAATACTAGTAACTGACTTTTTGACACTTTGTGGAATGATATTTGCTGTCTGTATACGCATTAAGGGTTCCAAGCTGTGCACTTATATCCATGTGTTTTCATACTTATAATTTCTCACAAGATTACCACACTTTATTTTATGTAACCTAGGCCATGTATAGTTGATTACAACATTGTTGTGGTTCATGTTTTAAGAATGCCTGGTCATTCATTCATTCATTCTTCCATCTATCCATCAATCCGTCTACATAGACTGTTTGACAGAGTAAACATAGACCCCGTTCCCGTACTTATATCAATCTAGCAGGATTGACCAATCTCCATGTTGGGGTGGGAGAGGGTCTCACTAAATTGCATTCAGTTTAAGTGGCTCTGATATCTAGCTGAAGCTGCTAATCAATAGTTAATTACCCCATAACAGATGGGTCAATCCTGCTAGATCGATTTAGTTATTGGAAATGGGGTCATAGTTTGCTTTCACTCTCTAGATTGGCCGCACCACTCCTGGCACATTGTCCTTGAAATTCTCCAAGGCAGTGGATGAGTCCAAGTCACAGCCTCAGGTGTCCCAGGTGGAGGCCAGTGACATGCACAGGGCCTATACTCCAGGATATTTCCAGGAATTACGGGATTTTGCTAGGAAACACCACCACCCATACTCAGATGTGTTATTTCGCCAGTGCCTGGTTTGGGACTCTGACCTTGACCAGTTGGTGCCCCTGTCCACTGATAGGCTGGAGCCCAAGCAAAACCTGTTAACTGTAAGTCTGTAAATGTCACTTTTTTAAATCTAACATTTTTTTGCAGAAAATCTTTGATGACTTATATTTTTTAAATCAAGTGTTATACTATGCACAACTTATGAAGAGTAGGTTTTAGATATTAAACACTGGCTGAAATTATGACATATTTTACAGTCAAATGTATAGTTCATTAAATAAGAATAATGACCTCAAGTCAAAGTTGTATTTCTATTAATTTATTTCTTTACTCAGCATTTGCAGTACAAATTTAAGATGTCTAAGACCCCATTCCCATACCTAGATCAATCTAGCGGGATCGACCCATCTCCAGAGGGATTCTTGCTAAATTGCATTCGGCTTAAGCACCTTAGATGTCTGGCATGAGTCGACTATTGAAACTGCTAAACGATAGTGATAGTTAAATACCCCCTAACAGCTACAGTAAGCATGCCAGACATTAGAGCCGCTTAAGCCGAATGTAATTTAGCAAGAAATCCTGTGGAGATGGGTCGATCTTGCTAGATCGATCTAGGTATGGGAACTGTCTCTAATATATAAAAATGCAATAAATATGGATTGTGAATTGTTTTTTGCTTGTTTTTTTAATCAGAAAGCAAAAGCACACAGTGTAGGATCCGAGTATGCTCAAAGGATTAAACTTGAGATTGAAGTAAAGGAAGGAAGATCGAGGTCCTTCAAGGAAACAGGTGAAAAATGTTGCCATTTAGTCATTGTTAATTGATCAAAATGTACACGCAGTTGTTTACCTATGGTTTACATAAATCCCACATGTACTTAGAAATAATGCCTTTTTTTTTTCATTTAGAATTGAATAAATGGTAGCAATTACAGATTTAGAGAAAAAAATAATTTATTGTGATGTGTCAAACTGGAAAAATGTCAACATTTAGTTGTAGTTAATGGCATACGGATGTGTTACACTTCAGAATTTCATGCCAAAATGACTTTTCCATGAAACTAATCAATGATTATCGATACAATGTAGGATAATTTATGGCATCGGCTTTTGTGTTTTGTTGTAATTTTTAGTTATTAACTGTTTTCTGTAGTATTATTAGTGAATTTTTATTTCTAACATGCATTTATATTTAACCATCCTAGGCACAGCTAGGGCGGAAAAATCTTCAAACCAGGTATGTGCAAAATGGGTGCAGGGCCTGTAATGGTTTAAGGTCAAGATCATGATTTAAGATGATATATGAAAAGGAAGTTAAATATAAATTGTAAATGTATTAACAACCATTTGAATGTTTTCCTGATTGCAATTTTTATTTTGTGTACAATATCTGCTGCATGATTTAGTTGAACAAAGACCTTTTTTTGAGGCTAGTGAAAAATTCTCAAGCATAATAGAGATGCATGTTTTATACAATTAACTAAGCTTTCATCTTGAAAAATTAGGTTTCTAAGAAGTCCAAAGCAGGCCTCATCAGGACTAAAGGTAAAAATGTTGTGCAGCCTCATCTCCCAGTTGAGGAATCTAATAAGCCAGTCACAGGTTTTTCTCAAGAGGTCTCTTCAAGTGACAGAGCAACTACATTAGTCTCGGGAGTGACTCCTCAAGAAGCTGTTGAAGGTGAAGGGAAAGACAGTCTTACTCTTTTACGTCATGACTCTCAAAATGTGGCCCTAGCTGAGAGTGGAGAACCTGTATCAAAAACTGATGTGCAAGTGCTTCAGACAGCAAGGAAAGAAAATACAGAGCCAAAAGAACTTGGGTCGTTATCTGATCAGTTTATATCTGTGAACCATACAGAAGAGAAAAGTGACTTGCAGGTGCAGCATACTGATGTCAAAAGGAAAGAGAGTGGCATGTCAGTTGATGCTTCCCAAGACAGAGATAAAACTCTGCTCAAATCTCCTTACAGTCTTGCATCAACAGAATCCGAAAACTTCATGGGTGAATCTGACATAGAAGAATCTCAAGATTCATTTAACAGTGAAACGGTTCCAAAAATGCTTGCCTATCCCAGCTCAATAGATGCTGTGATGTCAGATTATGATTTACAGATGACTGGCTTTCCAGATCAAACCAGGTTTGAAGATCAGGGTAAAGCACAAAATAGGTCTTGCCCTACATCAAAAGATGCTGTAAAATTAAGTTGTAGTTCTATGGATTACAAAAGTATTGAAAGTGAAAACCTGTGCCAAAATCCCCCTTATCCCACATCTAGAGATGCTGTGAAAACCAACTGCAGTTCTTCAAATGACAAAAGCTGCCACAATCAGGAACTGCCTCAAAACAGTTCTTACCCTACATCAAAAGAGGCCGTGAAGTTAAGTTGCAGTTCTGCAGGAGACAAGAGTCGTGGAGATCAGAATGTTGCTCAAAACAATTCTTACCCAACATCAAAAGATGCTGTAAAATTAAGTTGTGGCACTGGGGATAATGAAAATCGTGAAGATAATAATTTTCCTCAAAATAATTCGTATCCAACATCAAAAGATGCCTTGGGTTCAAATAATTTAGCACATACAGCCCCAAACCCTGGTTACCCTGCTACCAAAGCTGCTCTTATGACTCCACAGGTTCAGAGTCGATCTCAAAATGCGTACCCTACCAGCAAAGAGGCTGTTTAACAAATATATCAAACATCTTGAAAGTTGGATTCAACTGCTGCCACTCCCCCTCTCCACTCTAACCCCCCCCCCCCATGAAAGATCTGTAATCAGTTAATTATTGTCAATGCATGTCAATGTGTGCTTGATAATGTACATACTTAAACTGTGTGATATGTGTTTGTTAAAGCATTTAAGATATTTCTCAGTAGTTATTAAATGTAAAATTTTAGCTGGATAAAAATATGCATGGCTGATTTTAGAGGTATACATTCTTTGTAATGTATGAGAATCAGTAATGACTGAATTACTTGTCATTCTGCTGTAAAATATTAATTAGACTCATTGAAATGACAGTTTTAGGTTCTTGTCTTAATCTATTAAAGTAAGCAATTACAGTATATCTATATATACAGTAGGAGTGTTACATATGCATACACTGTTCAGATCTTAAACAGCTTTTTCATCACATATTTAGTGATTGTAATTACATGCTGTACATTTTGGCCATGTTTTAATTATCTAATAATTGTGCAATAAGCTGGGCTTGTCATATCTCATTTGCATTAGATATGCTTCAGAGAAACACATTTGTCATGAGCAATACAAGGAATTCGTCATAATATATTTACTAGTATGATAAAAATCTCTGCCACGCCTGCATTTGAATAGTCGAGAAATACTGTTTTATCTTGTCGATTTGGTGAAATCATTTGTGTATATTTTTGATAAACTTCATAGAGTCCTGTTTATTACATTTGATAGCTATTCAGCAGGTGTGTGAACATGATCAATTACCTGTTAATATTTACTGGTTTTGGTAAGGTGCCCTACATTTCATGATATTTAGTCTTCTATATATAATATTATACACTGTCTGTGAATCAATACTCAAATAAATTGATCCTTTGGATGGAGATTATTAAAGTGATGATACTTGCCTTATTGAAAATCTTTGAAGTGTTATACATTGTAACCTAAGTTTTGCATAACATAAATTTCAGAATGCTGGATCAATCCATGTAAAAATTTAGTTTGTAATAATTATTTAGTGTTTTTCATTTGAGATTACAGAACAAAATTTGATTTTGTTTTTGTCGCTTTTTATGTACAAAATAAAAGTATTCAATTAAAAAAAAACATTAATTTTATGGATATTTTAAAATAAAGATTTAGGTGCTAATTTTACAAATAATACAATGGTATGTATGTGTGCATCTGTCACAGTGAATAAAAAAACGATGAAGACAATTTTCAGCATTCTTATTGCATTATAAAAACAAAAATATTAGATTGAAAAAATGTTTCTTGCAAAAAAAAAGAAAGATTCAAGTCAATAACTACGCTGGTTTGTTGTCAGTAGTCATGTTACAAAAGAGGCCCTAGTTTTAGAGATTTTGGGTAATTTGTTTATTTAATTTATTTTTATAAAAATTATTTATTAATTTATTTATTGGAAATTGCTAATTTAATAAATCTGGGATGAAACCTTTTGATATCAACCTGCAACACTGGTAATTAATCAGGATCCATCTTGACAGGCTCAAATTTCCCGTTAACTATTAACGTGACATTAAGTGTGTTGTCAAATAACTTGTCCTGATTGGCCCTGGGTGCACTACTGTGCAAAATAAAAGAATCTAATAAGTCAAGGGCACTCAGAATTATATATCTTGATTAATCTTATGTTGATGCCTAGCTGGTAAACGTAAACCTTGTCACTTAAGAAAACCAACGCTTAGAGCTATGGAATTCCTTCGTCCAAAACATTAAGAATGACAAGGAAAAGTTGAATTATCTTTGAACCACCAGATTTTAAAATAAATTAAGGTGTGAAAACAAATTCCGTTAAACTTTCCCCAATTTTTTAAAAATAACTTTTTGTTTATTTCGAACTGAATTTTATCGCAAAGTTAACTTTTTAATTTCTATTTAAACTCATATTTTTACAACTTCAATTTTTGGTTGCAATGATTTTGTATAAATTTATGACATTGATCTTTGTATTTGCAATGTTTTTACAATGCTACATTTATTTTTATAAGCAAGTCTTTGCTCTACTGGTATTTAGCAATTGTATTATTATTAATTTTTTTTACTAGATTTTTCCCTATTAAACAGTTGTATTAATTGGGAACTCCCAACATCCAACATCCCAACATCCAGATTTATAACAAACGTGACACTGAGGCAGTTGCCAGATTTTTTTTTACTTAAAATGGGCGGTGATAAAATAATCTCCATAGATTGTAATCCACCAGTTGTTCCTAGTCGAGGCAAACGCATCCACATTCCAATCCTAGCCTACCTGTTTCGTTCTTCAAACCGTTTCATGGACTTAGNGGAGTGTTACATATGCATACACTGTTCAGATCTTAAACAGCTTTTTCATCACATATTTAGTGATTGTAATTACATGCTGTACATTTTGGCCATGTTTTAATTATCTAATAATTGTGCAATAAGCTGGGCTTGTCATATCTCATTTGCATTAGATATGCTTCAGAGAAACACATTTGTCATGAGCAATACAAGGAATTCGTCATAATATATTTACTAGTATGATAAAAATCTCTGCCACGCCTGCATTTGAATAGTCGAGAAATACTGTTTTATCTTGTCGATTTGGTGAAATCATTTGTGTATATTTTTGATAAACTTCATAGAGTCCTGTTTATTACATTTGATAGCTATTCAGCAGGTGTGTGAACATGATCAATTACCTGTTAATATTTACTGGTTTTGGTAAGGTGCCCTACATTTCATGATATTTAGTCTTCTATATATAATATTATACACTGTCTGTGAATCAATACTCAAATAAATTGATCCTTTGGATGGAGATTATTAAAGTGATGATACTTGCCTTATTGAAAATCTTTGAAGTGTTATACATTGTAACCTAAGTTTTGCATAACATAAATTTCAGAATGCTGGATCAATCCATGTAAAAATTTAGTTTGTAATAATTATTTAGTGTTTTTCATTTGAGATTACAGAACAAAATTTGATTTTGTTTTTGTCGCTTTTTATGTACAAAATAAAAGTATTCAATTAAAAAAAAACATTAATTTTATGGATATTTTAAAATAAAGATTTAGGTGCTAATTTTACAAATAATACAATGGTATGTATGTGTGCATCTGTCACAGTGAATAAAAAAACGATGAAGACAATTTTCAGCATTCTTATTGCATTATAAAAACAAAAATATTAGATTGAAAAAATGTTTCTTGCAAAAAAAAAGAAAGATTCAAGTCAATAACTACGCTGGTTTGTTGTCAGTAGTCATGTTACAAAAGAGGCCCTAGTTTTAGAGATTTTGGGTAATTTGTTTATTTAATTTATTTTTATAAAAATTATTTATTAATTTATTTATTGGAAATTGCTAATTTAATAAATCTGGGATGAAACCTTTTGATATCAACCTGCAACACTGGTAATTAATCAGGATCCATCTTGACAGGCTCAAATTTCCCGTTAACTATTAACGTGACATTAAGTGTGTTGTCAAATAACTTGTCCTGATTGGCCCTGGGTGCACTACTGTGCAAAATAAAAGAATCTAATAAGTCAAGGGCACTCAGAATTATATATCTTGATTAATCTTATGTTGATGCCTAGCTGGTAAACGTAAACCTTGTCACTTAAGAAAACCAACGCTTAGAGCTATGGAATTCCTTCGTCCAAAACATTAAGAATGACAAGGAAAAGTTGAATTATCTTTGAACCACCAGATTTTAAAATAAATTAAGGTGTGAAAACAAATTCCGTTAAACTTTCCCCAATTTTTTAAAAATAACTTTTTGTTTATTTCGAACTGAATTTTATCGCAAAGTTAACTTTTTAATTTCTATTTAAACTCATATTTTTACAACTTCAATTTTTGGTTGCAATGATTTTGTATAAATTTATGACATTGATCTTTGTATTTGCAATGTTTTTACAATGCTACATTTATTTTTATAAGCAAGTCTTTGCTCTACTGGTATTTAGCAATTGTATTATTATTAATTTTTTTTACTAGATTTTTCCCTATTAAACAGTTGTATTAATTGGGAACTCCCAACATCCAACATCCCAACATCCAGATTTATAACAAACGTGACACTGAGGCAGTTGCCAGATTTTTTTTTACTTAAAATGGGCGGTGATAAAATAATCTCCATAGATTGTAATCCACCAGTTGTTCCTAGTCGAGGCAAACGCATCCACATTCCAATCCTAGCCTACCTGTTTCGTTCTTCAAACCGTTTCATGGACTTACAAAAAAAATGGTTGCAAAATGGGGCTGTACACAGGCCTCATATACGATAATTGCCGTATGCTACAAGTACCAATTAATTGCCTTAGATTTGGGAGCACGAATGTCCAAATTAACAACTCCAGTACCCCAACGCAAAATTAGTAGACACGAAGACAGCGTCAGAGCGGCTGCGTGTCGGAACCTTGTGCTCGTGGCTATTAATTTTACGTTCGGTTATTCAATTCGTGGCTCGACTCTTTAATTTGGACATTCGTGCTCACAAATCTGAGGCTCGAGTACACAAACGTCTAATCCGTTTGTGAGGCCTGTATTATGATTGTGTTGTGTAACGTCAAGTAGTGAAATCAAGTGTTGTAGGAAGAAAAGATTTTAAGCTGAGGGTACTAGGAGCTAAGACATGAGGGCGAAGAAGTGGTTTTTATTAATTAAGTACTGTGGCAGGTCAAAGATTTTGCCCGTTAATGGTGAATAGATTATATGTGAATGAACATCATTCTTACCAATAACAGCTATGGCAAAACGCTTTAACGCTAAAAAACGACCTTCTGGTCCAACGACCTTCGGTCAAAATATTTCAATTGAGAGTGCCTGTAAATTGTTGGCAGAAATTAAACTTAATTTTGGCAGCGGATGTTAGTTATTCATTTAAACTTCCTGGTCATTTGTTTTTGTTCATGTCTTATCATTTTATAGTGTTGTTTGAAGTGGGGTATATTTCAAGATTATAACGAATGTTTCAAAGATGTCGAGTTCTAGATCATTTTTGTGTCAATGAAAGATGTTTTGAAATACACTTACTGGGAAACCCCCTGCTTTTCACTCTTGTTAATCAATTTGGTATGACACGCACCAGTATACCTGACAGCCAGTAGGATCTCCAAAGGTTAATATTGTCAATCAATATAGAATAGTCGTAACCTGGAATCTTATCTATTATTCAGTTACCTATCCACCTGGCTTAAAACTAATAGGCCTATTGTCTAAAATTGCCATTCACTGGTCGTGAAATAGCTGTTAGCTGTTAAAATTATCTTAAATTGTCGATGAATGATCATGTAAAAAGTCAGATTGAATCTATCTCCACGTTAAAATTGTTTTCTAATTTAAAATTGCACAAGTTTGTAGATCAGTGACCTAAACGATATGTTTAATAATAATTCTATTGAAAAGATACGAAAATAAATTGATTGGTTAACAAATAAAACCCTCGTGATTAATAAACCCGGTCCATTAATAGTGAAATAAAACTTATATAAATGAAAAGCCACTTTATAAACAGGGTAAGCCCTATCTATAAAAAATTATTAAAAAATCACCTCATATTGTAAGATTTCACATTAGCTGAGTTACAAATATCCAGAAATGATTCAGATAGTGTCATTTCAACTTTTGCCGTATCCCAGTATCCCCCCCCCCCCCCCCCCCACCACACACACACACACACACACTGCATGTAACTCTCTAATTTTTAATGCTTATCCAAAGTGTTGACTTGGATCAACGTCTTTGCTTTTCAAATAAATTAGTTGGGCAGGGCATTTACTACAGTATGTCGTTTTTGGATAGGCGAATCAATATTCATTCAGCAACTTAAATAAAAAACTCACAGTCGCAGAGGATTTTTCTGTAATAAAGTTTCATTTCCAATAAAGGCATTTTCATTGAGCCGTCGATTCGGCACTATATCGAGACGCGGACGTAGCAAACAAAACAATCATGACTTGCTGTACAAGCACACCGAATTTCAACAGTACGTGTCCCATTGTAGTCAAGTCTATTGTACTTTCTACTAGGGACTTATGTCACGCTGCGGAACTATTTTGACTGCTATTGATCCGG